GAAATAATTCGGTTCGTGAAGAAGAAATGAAAAAGTGTGTTGACAAGTGCTGCTGAATGCATCAGTGCCAATGTGACTGATTCTGAGTCATGTAACTAACTACTCAACATCAACCGCTAATCGTGCCTATCTTTTGGACCACAGTGGTGAAGTTTGTATCTGCTCGCATGATTCAGAACAATAGTCCATTTCTCGATGGACCAATGTCATGTTTTGATTTAGTCACCTAATCGTAATATTGGACGTTAAGGTAGGTGGTTGGTTTGCAAAATGTAGCATAAGCCCGTAGGTACTTCAATCGATGGAAATTTACAGTCTTATCAATCGACTGACATCTTTGCTTTGTACATTATCCTCATTATCGCTCACTTCGACGATCTAAGACTTGAGAAATATTTCTAAGACATTCGTGATGAAAATTCCGCAGTCTATCAGATCTTTCTTTCACAGCCGATGTTTCTGCTGTATCTCTACACATCGTGGATTCTTGTGAAGTAAACTAGTCACCTTAATGGTAAACGGATATCCTGCCTAAATCACAAATTGATAAAAGCTATAAGATCTTAGAATATGAACCGATAATTCTTAGGATAATAAACATCGGAAATATAAGCTTCAAAAGAACAAATGCAATCTATAAACAATTAAAAACCCAAGGTTTAGAGGATGATTATATCATGCTACTAGTTTACAACTGTTTACTTCCAATAATAGAATACAACTTGACGGACTACTAACTATTGAAGATGGTTAATCGGTAAATATAATATATATATGTTTTGTCACGGGTTGTCTTTCTCAATCTACTCTTATCCTAGCTATAGCTGCATGTAGAAGAGCTAGGGGCTGGGTAAAGATATAATTAGAACATCAGTAAAGAAAAACTCCTTGAACCATTCAGTAGTGTACACCCGGTAATCACTTTCACTGGTGAAGAGGAGTATGATAAAAAGTTGACTCACACTAAGCAGGGGAAGTGATGACTCGCTAAGTAGGAGCGTATACAGAAAAGATTCCACTGCTTGCCAATACACTCACTTTTGTAGTTTTACACCTATCCGCTGCAAAAGAAATTTGATTAGATGTCTCACTAGCAGAGCAAAAATAATCTATTCAGTGGATATTTTAAGTTAAGAACTGGAATTGATCAACAGCTCACTGACCGAGACCGGCTATCCCAGAGCATTCATAAGGAAGTATATGGTTGATGTAAAAAAGAAGTCAGTAACTTCGATCGCTCAAAGGTCTTTATTTATTAAACTACAATTCAAAGGAGATATGGCCTGTGATATTCTGCAGGACAGATTAACGAGAGTAATTAGTAGAACATTCAACGCAGTCAAACTTGCGTTGACCTTCTCAGAGTAGACCAGCTATGTCTACCCAAAGGAAGGATAAGTTACCTGATTTGGCCTCCTCTATGTGCATTTACAAAATTCAGCTGCTCCTGTGGAAGAGATAGCTATAGCGGGTGTACTACCAGGCAACTTAACCAACGAATGAGTGAACATCTCTCAGCATGGTTTATGAAGGGCCAGTTAAAAACTATACGTATTTCTATCTTTGCACATCTGGCTGATAGTGACGAATTCTATTTCTAATCATTGTGATCATTGACTCAAACTGCGTTGATTGGTTTAACATTTTCATCATGATAAATATTCATGTACATTAGAGTAAAAAGCTTGATGACGATCGATTAGAAAACAACAATATTGTTCACTTATATACGTGTTGTTCTAATTTTTACAATGGGACTACTCTTTAATATTCTTAAAAATGAATTATGAGAATCATAGATCAGATGTATGTTAACATGATGAAAATCATGAAATTAAGAGAAAAAACTTGAACGTCGTAAAAACAGTTGATCGACAGGAGTAAAACCATTGTAAAAGAATATTAAAAATTCATTTTTTTAATATGTAAAATGTGGATGATTAAAATGAGCGGTTCAATATTCTGTAACTGTACACAGTTCAGAGTTGAACGGGTGAACTGATAAAGTCTCTAAAGAGTAGAGATTTTTAATTCCCTACTTCATGGTAGCTTATTTGTTATGTGCTCCTCTAATGTGACCAATCACATACCAAACCCCACACACACGATGAACTTTGAATAATCAGCTAAATTTCTATTGGCTTACGATCAACTAGTTTCTTTTTGCCCTGGCCTTGGAGTCTAGAAGTCAGTAATCAATCTTTCATAATATTTCTATTTCAAACAGACATAGTTTATCTACAAGCAGATCCGATTGAATTACACCATAAATGTTAGGATATTCATCCAATATCCTAAGATAATTATTTGTACGTCTAGTTCTATTGATCAATTCCTATTGGTCGTCGTAACTATCAATGTCACAGACTTCAATAATGTTGTTTCCTATTCGATCTAAGTGTATAAATATGCATTATCTGTCACGTTTTATAACTCGGACCCGGATCTCTAGTCCGGGATCCTGATTCTTTTCTGGATTCGGACCTCGTACTTTCTGGATGCTTGTAGAATACATGTTCTTCTACTTCATATCAAGCCTTTTAATTTTACTCAATATGGGGGTGGGTTTGGGACAAGCGGATTAGAGTAGTCTGTCGTGTCATCACTGGATCCTCGATCCTCATTCTCGTTTACTGACTAAGAAGGTAAACTCGTAATAGTTCAAAAGCATGATCCGAATGACGTGTTGTTGAAATAAACAATATTGCATAAGAAGAATAAACATGTGCATATATAAATATAAATATATATGTGTATATTTCTTTTTATTTATTTTTCTAATAAAAAAAATAAATTACATTTTATCTGAAAATTTTTTTTCTCTTGACAATTCACAATGTTATTTATTTTTCATGATAAGAAATTGACACAAAGACAGAGGGAGAAAGGGAGAGAGAGAGAAAGAGTTGATCAATATTCAACTTTATTCACAATCACATTTTTTTCGCAGAGAAAAATAAAACAACCTTTTCATAAATCATATATATAGTTATTGGATAATAAAAAAACATATGTATAGATAGGAAGGATAATATGAAATGTAATGTGACCTTGTTATACATTAGATAACATACATACCACAAAAATACCACGCTCTTCTTCAATAGTGTCTGTCGGTTTTAGATAATCATCATCATGATAATAATCGATCGATCGATCGATCGACTGATTGATTGACTACTTGGTGGTTGTAATGATTTATTGTTGTTTTATTATCAAGCAGGAATCCATGTTTTGTTTTGTTTTTCTACTACTACTAATCATGATTTGTAATCAGGAGTTCTTCTATGATGATGATGATGTTGATGAAATGTCGAAATTTACAATATGGCAAACTAAATTGACATGTGTAATGATGATTGATTGTGTGTGTGTGTGCATGTAATGAGTAGTTTAAATTAGTAGTAAGAGTAGTAGTAGTAGTAGCCGGTAAAATATATGATAAAGTTCTTGCATAAACACCAATAAAGATTTATAATGTGAGAAGTAAAGTAGAAGACTTAATAATCAAGGTTCAATCATTGAATGTACACAAGTTTGCATAAAAATACACATATTATTATTGATTTAGTTTGAGGCATTCAATTAGTCTGATCACTTTTCAATACATAAATAATGATAACAATTATCATAGTGTTAGATAAATCAAAAGTTAAACAAAAGTATTCACGTTTAGTATGAAGACAATTCAATTCTTGTGCTTCCAATCAAATTAATCATCATTACGTACGTTCAACAACGAACAGAAGAAACGCGCGCACGCACACACACCGTGAGGGAGAGAGAGAGAGACAGAGAGAAAAAGAGGCGCGATCTTTGAAAAGCGCAGCATCAATTTTCAACTACTTTCACATTATTGATTGATCACAGAAAAACAAGAAATAAGAAAAGTTCAATCATGAATGGGAAAAAAAAAATGTGGATTATCTACAAATACAACAAAAAAAAATAAAAATGAACGCAATGTAGAGAGAGAGAGAGAGAGAGTGCAGACTTAGAAAATAACAATTATTGATTGATTGATTGATTGATGAAGCTGTAGACAATTAATTGGTCAAATGAATTTAGTACATAGTCAGAAAGAGGCATCAAAGTTTATAATCGGTCAAAAAAGCAGAGCACAAAATAAAAAAGGGCAGGAGTGGGGGGCGGCGGGAAAGAAAAATTAAAAAAAAGTAACTTGAAAATTACTTCTCTTACATGATTATTATTATTATTATCATTATCATGATTAAGATTCTGTTCAGTACGGATTGATGCTACTACTACTACTGATAATAATAATTAGTAGTAGTAGTTATAGTTAGAAGTAATATAATATCAGGAAAGAAGCTGTATTCTATTAATTAAATAGTGTGAAAAGAAAACAGCGTACACACACAATTTGGATTCAGGGATTCTTTTCTCTCGATCTCTCTTCCTGTCTCTCTCTCTCACTCGGTGTTTACACACTCGATGACGTTTTCTGTGAATCAATTCAGCCCCCCCCCCACCAGCAAACCGATGAATTGTACTGATTATATTACAAATATGATGTTACGGTGCCATAGCACATCCAGTTCAATTTGAAACCGAATCCTCCTCATCGCCTTCCACACCCCACCTTGAAAGACATATCACAACAGGCTTGTGTAGATAGATGGATAGATAGATAGATAGAATGAGAGATAGACATACAGACAATAACAGCAGAATATTTTGATTTTTTCAGTATCAAATACACAGAGAGAAAGAGAGAGCGGTGGAATGTTGTACAGTGAGCAAGTAAGTAAGTAAGTAAGTAATGCTGTATATAAAACAACAAAAGATGCATTTTTATAATATATGTATATATGTATATATAAAACTTCAAGTTTTAATGCATTCACAATGCATAGTTGACAAAAATAACAAATCAAAGAAAAATGAAAATAAGAAACAGCCAACAACAACTAATTCTCATCTAACACACAGAGAGAATGTGTTGAAAAGAGGAGAGAATAATAATAATAATTTAATTCGTTGACATTTGTTGTTGTTGTTGTTGATTTAATTGGTCGATTGAATGGTAATCAATTTTTTATTGATTGTTTTATTAGGAATTGGTTTCGGTTCTGGCATAACAATCTCTGTTGGTTTCATGATCAATTTGGATCGTGTTGCTGAAGCAGGTGGTGGTATACGACTAACATAACTATTGATTGGCTAAGTGAATACAAAAAATATTTGCGGGAAAGAGAATAGAGAAAAAAAGATAGAGCAAATAAATCATTTTCACAATGCAGTGTGACGGCGATACAATAAATATTATTTGATTGACTTATTGGTAATAAAAAAAAAAAAGAATTTATACAATTTAAAAATGTGTATTGGGAATTGGATAGTTTAGTGCATTCCTATTGAGAAATAAAAATGTAACGATATGAAATAGGTTATACTATCATCATCTACGTCAGTTATTACTAATCTGTCAGATCCTATGAGTACTTTATGGAAATTCTCATTTATCAAAGTTATCATTTGGGATGTTAGATAGGTAGGTGGGGGGTCACAAATCCGAACAATTGAAAACATAGGACACTGAATGAGTATTAGACATCAGGCAAGGATACAGAAGGCTCAAATGGCTTTTCCCAACTTGCGTCACTTATTATTTAGGCAAGATATATCCGTTTGCTGACTAAATCTATGTGGTCAATGACAAGTGGACTGAGTCATGTTGGTAGGTGTGTCGACGACCTGGTTGTGGTGGTCCGCGAGATGTTAGTAATCGATGGGTAGAGGCCCTGAATGACATGGCTCAAAATCGTTTGCAATGGCACAGGTGCATTCATTTTTTGTGTTCTCTCAAATCCTAACCTTTTGAGTTCCTCATCACCTCCGTCTTTCAGTTTTAAGTTAATTTCACTGGATTATACCTCTTGAACAATATCCTCGAACCCTAATCTCTCCGATTACTGCTAATACTTCTCTATCGCTACAACTATGGGATTCAAATTGACAATTACACTTCTGTGCTAATGTGTGGTATGGCAACTTGAACTGATGTACGCACGTATGAAGTTCTATGTTGCTGTTGGTTTATTGATTGATTGAGTATCAGTCACGATCAAAATGGAACTTGGTAAGAATGTGTATTAGTTACAAGTTATCACATGATATTAACACGACGAGTTGAAAGTAAAACCATGAAGAATGGTAGTAGTAATGATAGTGAGAAAAATCAAACATTGAAACGATTCAGTATGTTGTGGAATGCTAGAAATTAAGATCTAGAGAGAGATATAATGGATGGATACATCTGTGTTAATATGACTGATTCTAAGTTATGTCACTACTCCAAATCTCCAACCTTTAATTGTACCTATCTAATGGACCACAGTGGTCAGTCAGTCCGTTACAATGTATAACTTCGTACGTAAGTGCGTACATTAGTTCAAGTTGCCATACCACACATTAGCACAGAAGTGTAATTGTCAATTCGAATCGCATAGTGATAGAGATAGTAGAATGATTCGCGGTAATGAAGATAATTAGGGTTTGTAGATATTATTCAAGAAGTATAATTCAGTGAGGTAAGGTTAGAAAGAAAAAGATAGAGATGATGAGGAATTCAGAAGATTAGAATTTGAGAGAACACAACGAGTGGATGCACCTGCGCCATGGCTAACGATATTGGACCAAGGACGGAGATGGAAATCAGTGAGGAGTGACATTTGTACGGTCGACATTTTATAACCCCTTCCTTCCTTGTAAGAAGGTAGCATCGCTGCAGATGCTGGTTGTCTGAGGGAAACACTAATGTCATATGCCTCCTCTACAGTCAGCAGTACGACTTCGCCCTCAGACCTTGAGTAGCTGCTGCTTTTAGTTTGATCGTTCTCCAGTCAACCAACCTGAAATGATAGGACCTACAAGAACATATATTTCAGTCAATATAACTCGGTTGCCTCATCACGATAGGCAAGCCCGACCACCACGTCAAGGTAGCAGCTACGGTCAGGTGGACTACAGTGGAGTAGTTTATATTTATCCATATGGCGTAGAACAGCAGTCGTTTTTCACATTATTACATTAAATCAATAATAACAAGTAAACACCTAAAATCACATTCGATACGCGAATAATAAACTTAACTTATTTTTGAGGTCAAAATTAAGTTAAGCAATGTTGAAAAAAATAATCGCAGAATTGTACTGACTGACTGACTATGTGAAAATGTATTTTAAAATTGAACTTTGGCATACAGTCAAGATTATTATTCCTATGATTGACATACATAGATATATTGATACAAACAGTCACTTAAATATATATATAAATGCAGCAAAAATCATTGAATTTGTGTGTGTGTGTGGGGGGGGGGGATATACTGGGTATACTGCTCGGGTGCCCGAACTAAAGCAGGCTGCTTTGTCAAGAGGATACTCCATGTGCTTTCCAACCATAGGTTTAATCCACAAAGTAGTGGAGAAACGTTCGGCGATGCGGTCACATCGTAGCTGGTGACCAAGAATAGGTTTGTACACTATTTGTTTCATCAGGATTCTGAGGACTATGTGCACTATCGGTTTGGAATCAGAGTTCCCCAACTCACCTAGGTGGATAAAACAAAGTGCACATTAAAACAGTTAAAGCTTTTTGTTCTCTCAATCTTGTTAACAATACCCTGACCTTGAGTAATCAGCGAGTATGACTTCCTTGGAAGTGATTTTACGCGCGTGGTCATGTGAGAACATTTCTAGAGATAGGGTGAACTCTCTACACAGATTGCTTCACTTTGGGTATCTGTTAGTGGCACATGGATGGATTAAAGCATGACTGAGTTAGCTGCGCGCTGATTGGCTAATTTCCTATCTAATCAGCGCCCGGTCCATACTTGGAGAGCAGGGTAGGAAGTTCTCGTGTTGTTGGCTGAATGCTGACTTGCTAAATCTAATCCGGTCAGTGCCAGTCAATCACGTGGATTACATTCCAGAAGCTTCTCATGTGAGAACTGTAAAGATACTAACGTTGTATCTATTTTGCTTGGCCTTCATTCACCCCGCTTCAGCTTCTTATATTCCCATCTAACCTTGCTATTTGGAATATAATCATTTCCTGTTCCACCGTGTTCTAATTTTTGGGACTTGTCGAGTGTATTATTGTCAGAGAATACTAAGCAATAGGAATTAGCTGGGAATTATTAAGAGAGCGTTACAACAGTATCTAAACAGTTTCCCATCTATCTCATACACAGACTCAATCATAAATATTTAGGTGCCTCTTTTCTAACCAGTGTTTTACACTGTAAGCCTGTTCGGGACGTTGGATCTCCCCAGACCTCACTTGGAAAAGGTCTTGATTCTGTAATTTATTTATGAAAATTTTGATTTATTTCGTTTTCGCGCCAAATACGCTTAGCTGACCTTGAAGTTTCCTTCCCCATTCGGAAATCCTTGACTATCATTGGTTGATAGATTATTTTAGTAGTCTATTCAAGTGGCTCTCTCAAGGACGTTGCTGTCATCATATAAATAAGCTTGATTTGTGTGCTTAGCAACCTCATAATTTCTGGGCGCTTGTAAAATACACTTTCTACTCCTTATCAAGACTTCTTGATATACGTAGTTAGCCAGGCTGGGAACGATCAGATTAGAATAGCCTATCGTGTCACTGTAACAATGATCTTCGTTTCCGTTTACCAAGTAAGGTGGACTCGTACTAGAAGCAGGCCTATCAAAGCCAAACATTTTCTAGAGTAATGTTTCTATCAGATAGAGTTTACTAGGGGCTGTTAGATCAATCAATCAGATTATAACTAGTCAACAGATTTTTCATTTGTAGTTTTCTGCTTAAATGAAGATGTCTTTTTTTTCTTGTAAAACTTGTTAGGGATATTTATTCATCAAAATATCCTAACAGAATTATTTTTCTAAATCTCATTCTGTTGGTCAATTCCTACTGGTCAACAATATGGTCGTCCTAGCTATCAAAGTCAAGTACACTTCAATGTTGTTTCTCATTGGTTGTCCTGAATTTCAATGTCACTTCAAATGTTACTTCCTATTGGTCGTCTTAACTGTCAATGTCACAGACTTCGATGTTGTTACCTATTCGACTAAACTGTATAAATATGCATTATCTGTAACGTTTTATGACCCGACACGGATCCTTATCCTCTTCTGGACTCGGACATCGTGCTTTCTGGATGTTTGTAGAATACACGTCCCACTTCATATCAAGTCTTCTTCTTTTACTCAATATGCGGGTTAAGGACGTTTGGATTAGAGTAGCCTGACGTCTCGCCAAATCCTCGCTCTCGTTTTCCAACTAAGGTAAACTCATAATAGTTCAAGCATATCCAAATGACGTGTTTACGTTCATTCGCAACAATACTACTACTGTGCTGTGAGCTACTTATAAGTAGTATATGACGTGAGTGTCAACGTAATGTCTGGCAGCAGAAGATGGGAGACGATCAAGAAGAAAGGACGAGTTAGAAGAACACAATGGAATTTGTATGAAACGCATCATGAATAGTAGTGACATTGGATTGATGTTGTTTGGCAACAGGAACAGTCCAGTTCGATATGATGAACTGTGATTTCACAAATTAACCATTTACAATATGGTTTTCCTATTATTTTACTGAGTAACTCTGTAATTTTTCGTTAAATACACAATTCGGTTGCCCTCACCTGTATTCTCGTTCACACTACTACTACTACTACTGTAGTGAATGAGAACACAGGTGGGGCAACCGAATTGTATTTAACGAAAATTACAGAGTTACTCAGTAAAATCGGAAAACCATATCGTAAATTGTTCATTTGCAAAAGATCAGTTCATCCTATGGAACTGGACTGTTCCTGTTGCCAAACATCAATCCATTGTCACTATTCATGCGTTTCATACGAATTCCATTGTTTTCTAACTCTTCCTTTCTTGATCTTCACCCCATATTATGCTACCAGACTTTACGTTGACGCTCACGTTATATACTACTTATAAGTAGTTCGCACCACAGCACCACACTACTACTACTAATACTAATACTGCTAATATACCAGACTTTTTTTTAAAAAGAAAGAAAGACACACACACACACTTACTCGTACTGATTCTGAATATGGTTTCTTCATGGAAACATTAGGATAATAATAATAATAATCCTGATGATGATGATCACCAATCGGAGGAGGATTGTTTGTTCTTAGATTTTTATTATCATTATCATTATTATTAGTATTATTCTCTATGCGTACAATTTGAATTGATCTACCACTACCACCACTAGGTGATAATAATGATACAGTTGAAGATGCTGTTGAAGAGTTCCTCAGCATAGTTTGTGAATGTTTTGTCGTGGTAGTTGTATCTTGTGATGATTGAATTGATAAATTTGGACTAGTTGGTGAATAGATTGGTGATGATTGTAACGGGAAATTATAATTGATAACAGTTGGTGAATTGGAATGTTTATCATTATTATTACTACTGTTATTTGGTTTATTCCATACATTGTATGTAGTTTCTGTTGTTGATTTCATAGTGGTGGTGTTAGTTGTTGTTGTCGTTGTTGTCTTTGGAAGTGGCGGTGAAATAAGTACTTTATCTAATGTGGTTGTTAATATACCACCATCAATGGAAGAATTCAGTTCGGAGGTAGAATAATCATGTGTAGATTTTAATGTTTTATGTTTTGATAATGATGATGATGGAGATTTTTCACGTTTTTGCCATGGTTCTTCAAAACTTAACTCAGAACTTGTAGTTGATGGTGGACGATTATTTATAGTGGCTGATAAGATTTGTTCACTTGTCCATCGATTCATACGTGACTTGGAAGTCATTGTTGGTGTGGTTACAATGATTGGTGTATTGGGATTTTGTGTTTTATTTTTACTAGATCCTTATAAGATTTATACAGAAAAATGGAAGAAAACGAATAAGGTTTTCATGGTCAAATCAAATGTCTTTTTAATGCGCAACAACTTTTTAAACATATTTATGTGTATGATGCGCTATGAGGTAATGATTGTTGGCGACGACGTTTGATCCGTAGAACTAACTCACTTGGGAAAGGTTTTAATTTTGTAATTTTATGTTTTCGTGCCAAAGACGGTTCATTTCGATCTTCCAGCTAGTATTTCTTAATCGGGAAAATCCTTAACCGTCATTGGTTGAAGGATTATTTAGTATGTATTTTAGTATGCTATTTTATAGCTCTCACCAAAGGCGTCTCTATTATTGTAAAAAATAAGCTTGATTTGTGTGCTTGTGGACCTCGTACTGTTTGGGTGTATGTATGTGGAATACATTCTCTCAACGTCTTATCAAGACTTCTCTTCCTTTAGTTAGTGGGGCCTATAGCAGTTGGATTAGAATAGCTTATCGTGTCACTGAATCATTGATCTGCGTTCCATTGACCGAGAGTAAGATGAACTTGTAATAGTTGCAAGCATATCAATAATGCAATTCAGTAGTCATTCAAATGACATATATATATATATATATATATATATATATATATATATAGTGAAATATCAGACAGACAGACAGATACAACGCAGAACTTTGTACATAAGTACATCAGTTCAAGTTGCCATACCACGTCAGCAGAGAGACGTAACTGTCAGTTCAGTGGTAGCAATAATAGAAGGATTAGCAGTAATGGAGAAGATTAGGCAGCGAAGATCTGATTCGAGAAGTAATATTCAGTGAGGTAAATTTAGAAAGAGAAAGATAGAGATGATGAGGAATTCAGAAGGTTAGAATTAGAGAGAACACAAAGAGTGGATGCACCTGCGCCATTGCAAACGATTCTGAGCCATGTCGTTCAAGGTCTATAACTATCGGTGACTATCGTCTCGCGGACCAGGTAGCCTACATCTACCAACATGTCTCAGTCCACGTGTCACAGTGACTTCATGCATTTGTGCCATGTTTTGGCCTCAAGCAGTTGTGTCCCTTGGGCTCTCTGTGTGGTCACGCACTCAGGTCTCTAAGACCAACACTAATCTATCTTCCTTTTCACGACCCTCACGAAAAAACAACCTTCCACGGTGTGTGGGCAGCAGCCGGGAAGTGACAACCGCTCCCTCATACCTCTTGTACCAGCACACGAGACAAAAAATTGGTCAAAATCAAATGAAATATCTATCATTGAATAGAAAAGAAAAGAAAAAAACAAAGAATCTTTCTTACCAGTAGCATTGTATCGTTTAATATTGATTTCTTTATTTTGTGTATATCTTGATAAATGTAGTTGTGGTGATCTCTTTATTTTAGCAGGATAAGAATCAACAGATAACCATTGATTATCTTTTTCATTATTATTACTCTTATTATTATCTAATAATTCAGAACGATTTGATAATTTTGAATTACTGGAATTTGGAGATGATTGTCTTAGAGGATTACGATAATGTGAACCACTTGTTGTTGTATAATGATGATCATCAGGAGAATGAATAAGAGATTGACTTGATGTTGTTATTGACTTTTATATATTTGTGTATTGTGTTGGAGGTATGTTTAGAAAAAAAAACGAAGGAGAAATACAAAAAAAAAATGAGAGTCAGTATTTAATAAATAATATAAAGTCAGTCAATGACAACATAGAACTTCGTGAGTATGTACGTCAGTTTAAGTTGCCATATTATATTTGCACAGAAAAGCAATTATCAATTCAAATCCTATAATGGTAGAGATAGTAGAATGATTAGCGATAATTAAAAGAATTAGGGTTTGTAGATATTATTCAAGAAGTATATAATTCAGTGAGATAACTTTATAGAAAGAGAAACATAGAGATGATGAGGAACTCAGAAGGTTAGAATTAAAGAGAACAATACAACGAGTGGATGCAATTGTGCGATTGCAAATGATTTTGAATCATGTACTTCAAAGTCTCTCTAACCATCGGTTACTATGGTCTCGGGGACCACAATCAGATAGTTTACATTATCTGCCAACACGACTCGGTTCATTTGTCAGTGATTTCATGGATTTCTGACATGTGTTTTTGGCTTGGCCGAACCTAGCTTCTATTATGCCTACCCGAACAACACCCAAGATTGCTCGCCAAAGCAGTCGGTGGTTGTGAAGAACAACAACATGTTCCAACCACCTCAACTGATCAAGTAGTGTGATATGCCATCTTTACCTAATACCTGTTTCCTAAAACAGTATTGTTCACTTAATCGTATATTAATTATCAGGCAAATTTCACAGCTATAAGATAGACATACTATGTATGTAGGAAAAAGGACTCTAGAAGGCTTCAAAATGTTTTACATACAACTAATTCACTTCACATTATGCCCCTGATAAGTTAACTCCTGAAATTTTTAAAGATGTTAGTCTAGTTGTAACAGGTAGATTGATTGAGATCTTAGATAGAATCTGAGAACTGGACGCAAATCGCATCTGACTGGTCCTAATCTATATAACAAGCGACAAAAGTCCTTAAGTGACAATCAAAAACGGATCAGTTTAACTAATATTGTGCCCAAAAAGGTTAGCCTTGATAATACTTAGATGACTAACTAAAGCTCATGAAGTGCAGATTCGACAAAAACCAGGCTGGTTTCAGACCTGGGCGTGACTGTATAGACCATATATATATATTCACACTACACATCAGGATCAGGTCCTAGGGTATAGGACTAACTAACTGTTGAAAAGATCCATCATTGTTGATCATATGTGCTGTCACAATTCACTTGTCTGATTTTCAATGATTCCTGAATGGATATATAACTCAAGGATTATAGCATAAAGCTTCCAACTGTTATTTCTTTTCTGTACGATAGATAACAAGCACTAACAATATTACTTGAAATGCAAACTTATTTACCAAGTGACCAACTTTAAAAAAGGCCACATAAAAAAAGCAGCAGGACCAGACAACATTCCAGCAGAGGCAATGAAAGTAGATGTAGAAGCAACTGGGAAAATATTTCACATCCTCTTCAAGAAGATTTGGGATGAGGAACAAATACCATCAGATTGGGAAGAAGGATACCTCATCGAAACACCAAAGAAAGGCGATCTCAGCAAGTGTGAGAACTACAGAGGCATCACTCTTCTTTCAATACCAGGCAAAGTCTTCAACAGGGTATTGTTAAACAGAATGAAGGACTTCGTAGACGCCCAACTTCGAGATCAACAGGCCGGATTTCGTAAGGATCGATCATGTACTGACCAAATTGCTACATTACGGATCATTGTGGAACAATCAATTGAATGGAACTCACCACTCTACATCAACTTCATCGACTACGAGAAGGCATTCGATAGCGTGGATAGGAAAACACTGTGGAGGCTTCTTCGACACTACGGTGTGCCTGAGAAAATAGTTAACATCATACGGAATTCTTATGATGGATTCAACTGTAAAATCGTACACGAACGACAGCTAACAGACTCTTTCGAGGTGAAGACCGGTGTGAGGCAAGGTTGCTTACTCTCACCCTTTCTCTTTCTCCTGATCATCGACTGGATTATGAAGACGTCAACATCTGGAGGGAAGCACGGTATCAACTGGACAGTTAGGACGCAGCTGGACGATCTGGACTTCGTAGATGACTTGGCTCTTCTATCTCATACGCAACAACAAATGCAAGAGAAGACGACCAGTGTAGCAGCAGCCTCTGCAGCAGTAGGTCTCAACATACATAAAGGAAAAAGCAAAATTCTCCGATGCAACACAACATGCACCAACCAAATCACTCTTGATGGAGATGCCTTGGAGGACGCTAACACCTTCACATATCTTGGCTGCATCATCGATAATCAAGTTGGATCGGATGCAGATGTGAGGGCGCGGATTGGCAAAGCAACGGCTGCATTTCTACAGTTGAAAAATATCTGGAACTCCAAACAAATTTCAACCAAAATCAAAATCAGAATTTTCAATACAAATGTCAAAACAGTTCTACTGTATGGAGCGGAAACTTGTAGAACTACCGAAGCCATCATCCAGAAGATACAAGTGTTTATTAACAGTTGTCTACGCAAAATACTTCGTATTCATTGGCCAGACACCATCAGCAACAACCTACTGGGTGGGAAAGAACAAACGAGATTCCAGTGGATGAGGAAATCAGGAAGAAGCGGTGGAGTTGGTGGATAGGATACACACTGCGACAAGCACCTAAATGGGTCGTCACAAGACAAGTCCTCACATGGAACCCTCAAGGTAAAAGGAAAAGAGGAAGGCCAAGGAATACATTACGCCGAGAAATAGAGAAAGATATGAGAGGAATGAACAAACATTGGACAGAACTGGAGAGGGAAGCCCAGGACAGAGTTGGTTGGAGGAAACTGGTCGGCGGCCTATGCTCCATTGGGGGTAACAGGCGTAAGTAAGTACATAAAAAATTAGTTAAAAGCTAGTTGAATTATTCAAAATAAAACTAAACTTGAACAATAATCAATTACAAACATCTGTAATAACGTAAAAACCAAAAAAAAAAAAAAATAGATCACTACTAATTACCGGTGATTGATAGTAGATATTTGGAATATTATGATTCATCAGACCACCGCCACCGCCACCGCCACCACCACTGTATGACATATTCTCATCAAAATTAAACAAAGTAGACGATGGTGAATAAGGTGTTTCCGGTTTGGAAGATGACGATATACGATGATTCAATTTTGCACGATAATTACTAACAAGTATATAATTAGGATTATTTCTACGTGATTTTGATGAATGATGAATTGTTGGAGAATAATAACGTCGATTAGTCGGGTTTGTTAAAACTGATGTAGTAGAAGTAATAAGACCAGGTGAAGAATGATCAGGTCGTTTTGATAATGATGATGATGTTGATGATAGTGGTGGTGATAATGATGATGATAATTCTAGTGTAGACGATGGTATATTGATGTTGATAGTGTTTAAATTAATTGGATTCACTGAAAGTGTTCTAGGCAAATGAGCTGGTAAAAATCGAGCATTCTATAAGAATTAAGGAAGAGAAAAAAAAATGTAAGGCCGACTTGATAAAAAAAAAGGGATTCTATATATATCGAATTCCTCATCCACATATCTCTATCTATCTTTCTTTTTTTTTAAAGTTATTTCACTAGATTCTACTTCTTGAATAATAATAATAATAATAATAATAATATCTACGAACTTTAATCTCTCTGATTACTGCTAATAATAAACTTTACTAGCTCTACTACTTACTATGGGGATTTGAAGTGACCATTGCATCTTTGTGTGCTAATGCGGTATGGCGCATTGAACACTGATGTACGTACGTACGTATACGAAGTTATACGTTGTTGATATGTTAGGATACTCATCCAATATCCTAAGAGAATTATTGGTCAAATCCTATTGGTCGATTTCTATTGGTCAAAATTATGGTCGTTTTAACTGTCAAAGTCAAATACATCAATGTTGTTTCTCATTGGTTGTCCTGAATTTCAATGTCACTTCAAATGTTACTTCCTATTGGTCGTCTTAACTTTCAATGCCACAGAATTCAATGCTGTTTCCTATTCGACCAAAATGTATAAATACGCATTATCTGTAACATTTTATGACCACGACCAGGACCAGGGCTCGGTCCGGGATCCTGATTCTCTTCTGGATTCGGACCTCGTACTTTCTGGATACTTGTAGAATACACGTTCTACTTCATATCATGTCTTCGTATTTTAACTAAGTATAGCTTCAAACCCGAAACCTTTGGTCTTGCGCGTCGTGAACGCCTAACTCCTGGACCACTGGGCCGGCCTCCAACGGTGTTATTGTCTAAATCTGTTCAATCTAGGGATTTTTTGCAATCTCATCTATCTGTCTTCGGTAATCACTGCCTGCACTCGATAGAGCTGAACTCCACTGGTCACGTCTTCTCAACTAGAACTCCGAGAATTTTCTCACAAAGCTAGTCACTACTAGTGAGCACATTGTACAATTTTTTTAAATTACAGTCATAGTGATCAGTGGTTCATCACATTACAATCATCAATCAAACCATTGTTAGACAACCATTAGAAATGTGGAAGCACTGGACGCCTGTTTCATCCTGGTATGCGACACATCAGCAGTAGAAGACAGGCTGGAATTGCATTCCACATTAATCATATATATATATATATATATATATATATATATATATATATACTTAGACCATGAGCTACAAGTGTAAGTTATTTGAAGCGGTTATGGAGTTAAAAATATAATTATATGATAGATAGAATGATTGTTTTAAAAAAAGTCATTCAATGTTACTTGGGTATGTGTTGATTGCATAAATGGAGATGAAAGATATTACATTATTAGCCCTAAGGTAGATGATGATGATGGCTAGTCCGGATTTCTTCGAACTCGGGACTCATCAGCAGCATGCGTTTGCATCTCGAAGTGGATGTTCACTCCGAGACTCGAACTCAGTACTGTCCACTTTAGACACCATCACATATCGATTGTAGTCCGAAAAATGCAATGGAACATTCACATTATCAATACAACTGAATTAACTATTTATCTCATTTCACATAAACGAATGGCTATCTGGACTTAGTAGCTAAGTGGATAACGCGATGGTGTTTGGGATGAACGGCATTGATTTCGAGTTCCGGAGTAAACATCAAGTCTGAAATGCACGCTCATTCATTCAACTGACCAGTTGCAAATAAGATGGTATTGCACATTCTAGATTTCACTGCGAACACTGCTCATAACCTAATTGACATATTTGAGGGCAAACCAGACGGGCTGCAAAATATACCAGAGACTGATCATTTGCTCATTAATACACATCACAATAGGAAAATTCAAACAACCAATCGTATACAACAGATGAAACAATCATGATATATATATGTATGTTACAATGAGATTGATAATAGTTTTCGATCAATAATAAAACCAATGAATAAAATATACGAGAATATATTGACCAATAGAATAAAAGGTGTGAGAGAAAAGATTAAGAAAAACGATGTAACTCTCTCAATAGCTAGCTACATACTAACTTGACTAATGATGACCTTAATGTGTCATTGTAACTGATGAATGATAATTCGAAACATGGTTAACTATATTCGATTATTCAATTGTATTTAGAACTAGTTAGCTGAATGTACCTACACTTCTGTGTTGATGATGACTATACAAACAATTGTTAAGGGGTCCATTGAAGATATATCCTTTAGTTAATTTAACTCAATATTTATTATTATATAAATATAAATTCACCCTACAATTGGCAAGGGTAATTTCACATTGGTCTTCAGAAGAACCAAGAAGACTGCCCCCATGTGTTAACATTCCGACGTGAACAGTTCGGCTCAATCCCATGGTGCAACCATACAGGTACCTGAAACCTTGGTGGACCATACACATCATTTATATATACACCAATAAAGATAGGGATTATTTCCAATCCATGATCGCGTCAATCAATATGCACCACATGAACAAGCCAATTCGACCCATGACTGTTAAACTCATTATTATTAGCAATGGGGAGATGTAATACAGCACCTCAATGACAACTGCCCTCGGGAATGTTGAAAGACAACCACTACCAGTATCAATGAAATCGGTTACTCTGCTAACCAAACTTGTGTAAAGACCGTTAGCAAAAATTGCCAGCCTTCTTCCAACCTACTCCTAAACCATAAAACATAGCTCGTCAAGGCATTCGGTGATTGGGCATATGTAACACATGTCCAAACCACCTCAACTGATGAAGTCTCAATACTTCATCTACTGATCTGCCAACCTAACCTAGTACCCGTTTCCCAACTATGGCATTGCTTACACGATAGTCCCAAGATAAACGAGCAATGCTTCGAAGACACCTATGATCGAAAACCAGTAACCTACGAATATTTTCTACTCTTACTGGCCATGTTTCACAACCATATAGTAGGACGGAGCGAACTACTACGCAGTACACTCGTCCTTTAGTCAGCAAATGGATATCTCGCCTACGCCATAAGTGACGCAGGATGGTAAGAGCCGACCGAGTATTCCGTATCCGTGCTGAGATTTTTTCAGTCAGCAGGCCATCAGAACAGATGAAACTCCCAAGATAAGTGAAGCGGTCAACATACTCAACCGCTTCACTCCTTATTAGTAGTTCAGATGCCAACACAATCCAATCCTGAAGCAACATTTTGCACTTCCAAGGGGAGAAACGCATCCTGAACATGCTTGCATTGTTGCTTGGGGTAGTCAGAAGACTCTGTATTTTGTCAGAGTCTTCACCAAATAGAACTATGTCATCGGCATATTTTAAGTCAACAAGCGTGTCTTCTGGTAGAACGTCCACTCCTGAAAAGTCAGACGATGATAATGTTAGGGTCTAATAGTATGTCTATGACAAAGTTAAAGATGAATGGAGAAAGTGGACAGCCCCTGACGGACACCACATGAAGTAATGAATTCCATCTACTTCCATTAAGCCTCCAATGAACAGTTAGCTAGCTAGCTAGCTAGCTAACTAACTACCTTACACATTTCTTGAATGACAACTTATAACTTATGTTTATATGTAGGCATGAATCAAACAAAATCAAGAAATGAATACTTATGTTTAGAACATGATAGTAACAAGTGAACACTAATTATCTTACCGCACAAAATTCATACAGAAAACTATGAAATCAAATTGAAAACTGAGAGATTAAGTGAATAATTGATTTCAAATGTTTAAAAACACAAAACCTCCAAAAAACTCTGCCCGAAAATATCATAACAGTGCTCACTAGTGACTATTAGCTTCGTGAGGATATTCTCGGAGTTCTAGTTGAGAAGACGTGACCATTGTGGAGTTCAACCCTGTTGGGTGTAGGCAGTTACTACTACCAAAGACAAATGAGTGAGCTAGCGCAAAATCCCTAGATCAATCAGAGTTAGACATTAATTAACACCGTTCGATGCTGGCTCAGTGGTCCAATGGTAAGGCGTTTGCGCACAATACCGAAGGTCCTAGGTTCGAATCCTGCGAGGTGTGTAGGAGTCGTGTATGCGCACTGCCACTGATGAGTCCCATATCAGGACGAAACGGCCGTGTTTCAGTGCTTCTTCCAGGTTTCTGATGGTGATGGTCTAACAAACAATGATTGATTGATTGATGATTTCGAATGAATAAAAGAAAAAGCAAATAAAATACTAAAACTCACTAATTTTCTATCAAAATTGGATTGATCTGTTAATTGTGGTTTTATACTTGGCAGAGGAATGTCTATGGACGGTTTCAATGTTGATGTTTGTGTTGTAGACATCATTAATGTACCACCACCATTACGATCATGCCATACTGGATCAGAATTGAAACGATCAAGTCGTTTAGGTTGCATATCGGATGCTGTTGTATTCATGAAAAATTAATGTGATATAATAATGTATGTTAGACGTAGAAAAACACAAAAAGGTTACGTTTATTTAACTAACTTCATAAATGAATGGAACAAACCACTCTACATCAACTTCATCGACTATGAGAAAGCATTCGATAGTGTGGATAGGAAAACACTGTGGAGGCTTCTTCGATACTACGGTGTGCCTGAGAAAATAGTTAACATCATACGGAATTCTTATGATGGATTCAACTGCAAAATCGTACACGAACGACAGCTAACAGACTCTTTCGAGGTGAAGACCGGTGTCAGGCAAGGTTGCTTACTCTCACCCTTTCTCATTCTCCTGGTCATCGACTGGATTATGAAGACGTCAACATCTGGAGGGAAGCACGGTATCAACTGGACAGTTAGGACGCAGCTGGACGATCTGGACTTCGCAGATGACCTGGCTCTTCTATCTCAAACGCAACAACAAATGCAAGAGAAGACGACCAGTGTAGCAGCAGCCTCTGCAGCAGTAGGTCTCAACATACATAAAGGAAAAAGCAAAATTCTCCGATGCAACACAACATGCACCAAACAAATCACACTTGATGGAGATGCCTTGGAGGACGTTAACACCTTTACATATCTGGGCAGCATCATCGACAATCAAGGTGGATCGGATGCAGATGTGAGGTTGCCGGATTGGCAAAGCAAGGGCTGCATTTCTACAGTTGAAAAATATCTGGAACTCCAAACAACTTTCAAACAAAACCAAAATCAGGATTTTCAATACAAATGTGAAGACAGTTCTACTGTATGGAGCGGAAACTTGGAGAACTACCAAAGCCATCATCCACAAGATACAAGTGTTTATTAACAGTTGTCTACGCTAAAATACTTCGTATTCGTTGGCCAGACACCATCAGCAACAACGAACTGTGGGAGAGAACAAGTCAGATTCCAGTGGATGAGGAAATGAGGAAGAAGCGGTGGAAGTGGATAGGACACACATTGCGGAAAGCACCTAACTGCATCACGAGACAAGCCCTCACATGGAACCCTCAAGGTAAAAGGAAAAGAGGAAGGCCAAGGCACACACACATTACGCCGAGAAATAGATAAAGATATGAGAGAAATGAACAAACATTGGACAGAACTGGAGAGGGAAGCCCAGGACAGAGTTGGTTGGAGGAAACTGGTGGGCGGCCTATGCTCCATTGAGGGTAACATGCGAAAGTAAGTAAGTAAGTTCATAAAAAAACAAAAAAAAAGATTTTGCTTATTATCATGAAGATGATGAGTTAAAACCAACCAATAGAGAGAGAGAGTTATAGCAATTTTTGAAGATAATTTTTTTTTCATAGGTACTTACTTACTTTTTGAAAACAAGACTCTTTTAGCCATTTTACTTAATCTTTTACATTAAAGTCTGTTATCACAGTCGGTAACTAACAATGAGTTCGTACACCATTTGCTCTGCTCTGTCAAAACACTGGAGTCTATGTGCACTATTTAGTTTCGGATTGCGGTTTTTCAACTTCCGTTGATGGGTCGTCCTCTGAAACTCATATTATTAATTTGGTTAAGGCACCGAATATGGGATTTTCTTCCTCTCACCTCTGCAGACAATAAATACCATTGCCATGAGAAAGCGTTGAGTAGGAGGACATTCCTCGCAGTGGTTGTTATATAACGCGTAATCAAATAAGAGCATTTCCAGCTGAACAGTGGATTGTCCATACTCTCGGCCGTAACACGCGGCATAAAAGCTAATAATGTGTGTGTGTGAAGAATCATATTTTTACAAAATACTTACTCTTATTAACTCCTCTTTACTAAATAATATGGTAGTTGGAAAAACAAACGATGAATAACATTTTCTACTGACCTCATGATTATTATCAGTTGAGACTTAATGACATATACGAATACAATGATAGAATCAGTCAGTCAGATGCAACATAGAACTTCGTACGTAAGTACATCAGTTCATGCTGCCATACCACATCAGCACAGAGATGTAATTGTCAATTCAAATCCAATAGTAGAAGAGGTAGTAAAGGTATTAGTAGTAATCGGAGAGGTTAGGATTAGAAGATATTATTCAAGAAGTATGATTCAGTGGGAAAAGTTTACAAAGTTGAAGAATCCAGAAGAATAGAATTTGAGAGAACACAAAGAATAAATGCACCAGCGCCATTGCGAACGATTTTGAGCCATGTCACTCAAGGTCTCTAACCATTGATTATTATCATCTCGCGGACCCCAACCAGGTAGTCGACAATTACCGACATGGCTAAGTCCATTCGTCAATGATTTCATGGATTTGTGCCATGTTTTGATTTGGCCGCCCCTAACTTTCTTCCAACCTATTCCTAAACCACAAAACAAAGCTCTTCGAGGCAGTCGGTGGTTAGGCATACGCAACACATGTCCCAACTACCTCATCAATTGATCTGCGATCCTTACCTAGCACCCGTTTCCTAGCGACAGCATTGCTTACTCGGTTGTCCCACGGTATACAAGCAATGCTTCTTAAACATCTATGATCGAAAACCAGTAACTGACGCATATTCTCAACTCTTAACGGCCATGTTTCACAGCCATATAGGAGAACGGAGCGAACTGCTGCGCAGTACACTCGTCCTTTAGTCAGCAAACGGATATCACGCCTACGCCATAAGTGACGCAGGTCGGCAAAGGCCAATCGAGCCTTCTGTATCCGAGCTGAGATTTCGTCAGTCACCAGGCCATCGGCACTGATGAGACTCCCAAGATAAGTGAAGCGGTCTACACGTTCGACTACTTCACTCCCTATCACTAGTTCAGGTGCCGATGCAACCAAGTCTTGAAGCAACATTTTGCATTTCGAGGTGGAAAACCGCATCCCGAACATGCTTGCATTGTTGCTTAGGGTAGTCAGAAGACTCTGCATTTTGTCAGCGTCTTCACCACGTAGGACTATGTCATCGGCATATTCTAAGTCAATAAGCGAGCCACCTGGTAAAAGGTCTACTCCTGAAAATTCAGACGAGGATAAGGTTATTTCTAGGAGAATGTCTATGATAAAATTAAACAAGAATGGAGAAAGTGGACATCCCTGACGGACACCACTTCAAGTATAGAATTCCGGTGACAGTTCGCCATAAGCTCTCACTCGACCAGTAGTGTTTGAGTAGAGAGCTTGTATGAGGTTAATGTACTTATTTGGTACACCTTTCAATGACAGACACTGCCGCAGAACCTCACGATCCACTGAGTCAAATGCCGCTTTTAGGTCCAGGAAAACAACTATTGTAGGACGCCTAAATGTGTGTCTATGTTCCAGGACCTGTCGTAGTGTGAAGATGTGATCTATATAGCCACGTCCAGGTCGAAAACCAGACTGGTTTTGTCTAGTCTGCTATTCACGAGCTTTCGTTAAGCGTCGAAGTATTATTGAGGCCAATAATTTAGATACTATATTACAATGATAGAGAATAATCAATAATTACATTGAATAAGTAATCTAATCAAAATTCTGTGCTTGAATGATTTGATTAATTCAAGCACAGAAATAGTAATAATTCTAAATTGCTATATAATCAATCTTAGTGTTGCATTGATTTTAAGCTAATTATTATTCAACTTCCTTCACTAATCAGTTAGTTAGTTAGTTTGTGTACGATAAAAAAAATGAGTAAAGGAATGTAGTAAGAAAGTAGTCGGATTGTTGTCATTAGAAAAAAGGTATCATAATGATGGTGGATTATCAAAGTTTAGCAAACAGAAAAAAAACAAGTTTAAAAAATTCTGTTAATTATAGATGGTGAAAAGAAAAGAAAAGAGCAGAGCAGATATAACACAAATCGATTAAACATTGAACCATACACACTATTGAACAGAAGTGGAAGAAGCACTCACTCTGTTAGGATATTCATCCAATATCCTAAGAGAATTATTCTTGTAAGTCTAATTCTATTGGTCAATTCCTACTGGTCAATATTATGGTCGTCCTAACTGTCAAATGTCATAGACTTCAATAATGTGGTTTCCTATTCGACCTAAATGTATAAATATGCATTATCTGTAGCGTTTTATGACCCAGATCCCTAGTCCGGGGTCCTGATTCTCTTCTGGACTCGGACCTCGTACTTTCTGGATGCTTGTAGAATACATGTTCTTCTACTTCATATCAAGTCTTCTTCTTTTACTCAATCGGGGGGGGGTTTGGGACAGTCGGGTTAGAGTAGCTTGTCTCGTGTCGCCTGATCATCGATCGCTCTTGTTTTCCGACTAAGGTGAACTCGTAACAATTCAAGCATATCAAATGAGGTGTTTACACGTGCATGCGTAACACACTCTACGGCTGTTTCGTTTTAAGTATGGAACAACTCGTTAGCGGTTCAGTGCTTTCAGGTTTTTTATTGGTGGTTTTACTAAAATCAGCTCATCATTTCAATGAAATCTAAGAATCTTTACAAACCGCATACTGACAATTACATTTAAGCCTATATGGAGAGGCTTCCAAGTCAGCAGTCATAAACAAATAAAGAGTTCTAGTGAGAAGACGTGACCAATGCAGTTCAAACTTGTCGAGTGTAGGTAGTAACTACCAAAGACAAATGGGTGAGCTAGCGCAAAATCCCTAGATCAATCAGAGTTAGACATTAACACCGTTCGATGCTGGCCCAGTGGTCCAATGGTAAGGCGTTTGTGCACAATACCAAAGGTCCTGGGTTATAATCCTGCGAGGTGCAGGAGTCTTAGATGCGCACTGCCACTGATGAGTCCCATATGCCAGGACGAAACGGCCGTGTTTCAGTGCTTCTTCCAGGTTTCTAACGGTGGTCTAACAACGACTGATTGATGATTTCAATGTGCAAAAAACTACTAATCTCCATAACTCTAATTAAAAATAAAGAATCGTTTGTAGCTAATAATAGGCAATAGTTTATAACAGATATAAGTTACAATGTAACAAGGTAAGAAGAAGTAGAGAATAGAAGAAATAAATACCATTTATGATGAGCAATGAAATATTACCGTAATTCACGCTACACGTTCCATAAATCACCGAAAGGATAGATACACTGTGAAACATCAAGACGTCAATTAGATTATCGAGTAATCTATATACTTCCTTTACATTCAAATCGATAATTCATAAAAGAAATACACTTAGTTGTAGTCAAAAGGGTTTAATGTTCACATATGCAAGGCCGAAGGTCCTGGGTTCGATTCCCGCTTGCGGGATTATGGATTGTGTAATATTGATGAGTTTCACAACACTGAAACAAATCGACCATACAGTGTTGCTTTCAGGTTTTAATAATGATGGTCCAACACTTGATCAGTACATGAATTTAAAAGTAACTCAACAATCTCTACAACAACCCTTTACTAAGAAAGAACACTGTTTAGTAAATTGGAAAATTAGTTTACTGTTGTTATTTTGTATATGTTGAATAAGAAAATTGATATATATGTATATTTTTTGGTTATCGTGATTCTATTCAATTTAAAAGTCAATTTTTTTTACTTTTAGTGTAGTAACACTTTATGATCGATCAATGTTGAGCAGCTTTTAACTTCAAGTTATTTTTGTATCGTTTTAAAAATTTAAATTTTGTCATTCAATCTGGAGAAATTCTGTCTCTACACCTTTTTTAATCTAGTTAAGAAAAAACGTGGTCTTAAAATTTTAGAAGTCAGTTCTTATTTTCCTATTTAAAAGTGAGATAAAAATTTAAATATTCCTTCTCAATGTTCAGTTTTTCTTCAAAAAAAAATATGAACGCTACATACAAACTTACAAAGTACTAGCTGTGTATCGTTTTTTGGAACATCGTTACAGACACTGATAACGTGCTCTTGACAATGTTGATTGTATCTGGTGGTAACATTCCACCAATCACTAGAAGAAGAAGACTTACACATCAACCAACCATCAGAGATTATGAAAGGTTGACATATTATTACCTACCATTTAACGGTTGGTGATTCACATTTCCGATTACTGCTCATACCTTTACTAACTCTACTACTATAGGATTTGAATTGACAAATACATCTCTGTACTAATGTGTTATGGCAGTCAGTCATTAGGGGGTATAGGAAGGATTTGATTTTGACCAATTCGGTCTCGTGTGCTGTTACGGGTATGAGGGCGGTTGTCACTTTCCGGCTGCCCACACCGTGAAAGGTTGTTTCTTGAGGAACCTGAAAAGGAAGGTAGATTAGCGTTGGTCTGAACGACCTGGGAGCATGACCGCAGAGCCCAAAGGACAACTGCTTGAGGCCGGTCACGCACGGCCTTTTAATGAAGGGTTTTTTCAGTGTTAGCTCCGCTCTTGAAAGCCCTTAGTGGGCACCCTTACCGCCGGAGACAGAAATCCGTGAGGTAGGTTGAGGTGTGACATTTTTAGGGTCGACATTTCTATCCCTTCCTTCCTTGTAAGAAGGCAGAATCGCTGCAGATGCTGGTTGTCCGAGGGAAATACCTTACTGCTGTCACACCCCTATGCAGTCAACAGTACGAGTTCGCCCTCAGACCTTGAGTAGCTGCTTTTAGTCTTATCGTTCTCCAATCGACCTGCCTGGCATGGTAGGACCTTCAGGAACATATGTTCCAGCCAGTTTAGTTCGGCTGGGTCATCACGATAGTCAAGCCCGACCACCACGTCAAGGTAGCAGCTACGGTTGGGAATGTGTTATGGCAACTTGAACTGATCTAAAGTACGTACGTACGTACGCACAGAGTTCTACGTTGCTGTTGATTGATTTCAATAAGAATCAGAAATCGCATATTAAAATGTGTATGCTGGAGAAATGATCGTATAAAAGTGTACATAAATCCGCGCAGTTTATTATTCAATGAAGACAACAATATATTATGTGAATGTCAATGAACTAAAGGACATAGTCAGTTTACTAGATTCAATGACATGTTTTTCATGTCCATATAATTATAAACTAGTACAGAAGTTGAATCAACCTAGAAGATACAAGTATTGATTAACAGTTGTCTACGCAAAATACTTCAGATTCGTTGGCCAGACACCATCAGCAACAACCTACTAGAGGTGGGAAAGAACAAACCAGATTGCAGTAGAGGAGGAAATCAGGAACAAGAGGTGGAGTTGGTGGATAGGACACACACTACGAAAAGCACCTAAATGCATCGTCACAACACAAGTCCTCACATGGAACCCCCAAGGTCAAAAGGAAAAGAGGAAGGCGACGGAACACACACAGTACGCCGAGGAATAGGGAAAGATATGAGAAGAATGAACAAACATTGGGTGGAACTGGTAAGGGAAGAAGCCCATGACTGAGTTGGTTGGAGAAAACTGGTGGTCGGTGGCCTATGCTCCACATTGGGGGTAACAGGCGTAAGTAAGTAAGTACAAAGTTGAATCCATAACAGCAAACATATCAATAAACAGAATCGATCACGTGAATCAAATCAAATCAAATCAACTATATATCAATATCAATATCAATACGGAATAAAACTAACCAACTAACTAACTAATTAACTTACACAATGGCGGCGGTGTATCCAATTTAATCTTATGCAATACTTCTAAACATTCTTTCAATGAATCAATGACAGTATCATCATCGAATAGAAAATCTTTAGCTAATTCATCTTGAAAAAATGCTGTCATTTGCATTTGATCCATGCGTAATAAACGTTCTACAATGATGGAAATGATACAATAAAAAAAAGGTGCGTACAATTGATGTTTTGATTGAATAAATATAGTGTTACAAATATAAAAAAACAAAACAAACCCAATTAGAATAGAAATGGATATATATATAATGAATGGTCTTATTGTGCAAATGAACGCTGAACCTCTCTCTCTCTGGAACGATGAGCGCCGGTATTGAATGGGGTTAATGTTTAGCTTTGATTAATCTATGATGCTGCACAAGGCTGAAGGTGCTTAGGGTTTTGGTTCCAGCGAGTAGTAGGAGTCGAGAATGTGTATTGCTGGTGAGTAGTCCCATAGCAGGTCGTACAGGCAATCATCCAGTACTTTCAGGTTTCTAATGATGATCTAACATTGATCGATTGATGATTTCAAAAGTCAGTCAGTTGCAACGTAGAACTTCGTACGTATGTACATAAGTTCAGGTTGCCATACCACATTAGCACACAGAGACGCAAATGTCAAATCAAATCTCATAGTGATAGAGATAGTACAGGTATTAATGGTAATGGAGAAGATTAGGGTTTGAAGATATTATTCAAGAAGTATAATTCAGTGAGATAAGGTTAGAAATAGAAAGATAGAGATGATGAGGAATTCTGAAGATTAGAGTTTTATAGAACACAAGGAGTGGATGCACCTGCGCCATTGCAAACAATTTTGAACCATGTCGTTCAAGGTCTCTTAATCATCGGTGACTTCCGTCTCACGGACCCCAACCAGGTAGCCTACATCTGCCAACATGACTCAGTCCACTTGTCAGTGACTACAGAGATTGTGCCATGTTTTGGTTTGGCCGACCCTAGCTCTCTTCCAACCTACTCCTACACCGCAAAACATCGCTCGTCAAGGCAGTCAGTGGTTGTGCATACGTAACACATGTACCAACCAGCTCAACTGATGAATTTTCATTACTTTATCTATTGATGTGCTATCCCTACCTAGTACGCGTTTCCTAACAACAGCACCACTTACTCGGTTACTTATAATCAATATTAACATTAAAGATTGTACATGAATATATGTGAAGCGTGAATAGCGTCCCAAAACTTTGTTAACAATTCGATTTACACAGATCAAGATATAAAGTTTATGCTAAAAATTATGCAAGTTTATTAACAATATGGCTACAAGTCTAAACTATCTGACGTTAGTAAGTTATTGAGAAACCACAATGACAGCGACGACCACAAAAACCATATATTTATTTACTGAGATTAGCAAAAATTTTTTTTATTGATCACCTCTCTCTCTCTCTCTTAAACGAAGCGATAGATTAGAGAATGTTCAAGAATACACATACAAATGTGAACAAGTCAAAGTGTCATGCATCACACCAACGCCAACACAAACACACACACCAACACATAGCATCTACCTACACTACTAAAATGTATACATACAATCATCATAGTGTATATGACTACTACTACTACTACTACTCAATAGGCACATATATAAATTTGGCCTGAAATCAAGTATATATCAACGACTCTGCTGGCAATAATCGGTAAAAAACATAATCAACAATGATACATAATCATAGTAATAATAATAATAATAATAATAATAATAAATAATGATGATGAAAGAGAATACATTTCACATTATCTATCTATCATCAATCTAAATAGAATGTGCTATCTATCTATCTACCTAAACTTTAAGCCTAGTAGTCGTCATATGATATGTGGTATTTATTTATATAAATATACATATAATATGCTAATGAAGTCAGTCAATCAGCGTAGTTTGTGTAGACACACATGTATATACATTTATATAGAAGAAACAATACTAAGCCTTAGCTATATTTATCAAACATTTATAAATACAGAGAGAGAGAGAGAATAACAAAGTACTTTTTTTTGATAATGCGGGTTGTTTTTTTTGGCAAATAAGAAAGAAGAATGAGGAGGTTAGAAAGCAAAGCAAAGCAAAGCAAAGAGAGAAAAAAAAATTCCATATTGATTGATGATAAATGTTATAAAATGATGAATGGTAGTAGTAGTAGTGGTAGTAGTAGTATTACTGGTAGTATTAGTAGTAGTAGTAGTAGTAGTAGTATTACTGGTAGTATTAGTAGTAGTAGTAGTAGTAGTAGTAGTAATAGTAGTAGTATAGTATTAGTAGTAGTAGTAGTAGTAGTAGTAGTAGTAGTAGTGGTAGTAGTAGTATTGTGGTGCTGTGGTGCGAACTACTTATAAGTAGTATATAGCGTGAGTGTCAACGTAACGTCTGGTAGCATAATATGGGGGGAAGATCAAGAAAGGAAGAGTCAGAAAACAATGGAATTTGTATGAAACGCATGAAGAGTGACAATGGATTGATGTTTGGCAACAGGAACAGTCCAGTTCCATAGGATGAACTGATCTTTTGCAAATGAACGATTTACGATATGGTTTTCCAATTTTACTGAGTAACTCTGTAATTTTCGTTAAATACAATTCGGTTGCCTCCACCTGTGTTCTCATTCACTACATCTGGTGTCGCTGCCTGCTCGAAGGAAGGGGCTCCCGTGGCCGAAGGAGTTGCAGGACGGAGATTGGCGGAGCTTCCTGGAGGAGTTTGGGGCCACGGTGGAGCTGGTGGGGGCCTGGGGCGGAGTTGACGGTGCTGGGGACGCTGCGGGGAGGTGAGGCGAAGGCGGTACACGACAGCCTGGACGGTGCCACCGAGGAGACGGCGTGGGAGACGGTCACCGGGCGGCTGATAATGGAGTTCCACAGCCCAGCGGACAGGGGGGAGGCGCCGCAGAGGTTCCGGTTGGCGCGGCTGTCGGCCGATGGTGACCTGTTGGTGCTTGCTGTGGAGCTCACGGGATTGCGCCGTGAGGAGTGGGCGGGGCACAGTCTTTGGCGTCGCAATTTATCGAGTGTGTGCCTGCCGCCGTGTTCCAGCATCGGGAACTTGTAAACGCTACACGTTGGATAGATGTCGTATCCATTCCAGACCAGTGATCAAGAACGATGACCGAACTGGTAATCCGGCATATTGTAGCGTGTCACGGAATACGGAAGGTGATATTAACTGACCAGGGGCTCTGTTTTGAAGGACTACGACGACAGCTTATTAAAAGGGGGGACGAGTGTGGTGCTGTGGTGCGAACTACTTATAAGTAGTATATAGCGTGAGTGTCAACGTAACGTCTGGTAGCATAATATGGGGGGAAGATCAAGAAAGGAAGAGTCAGAAAACAATGGAATTTGTATGAAACGCATGAAGAGTGACAATGGATTGATGTTTGGCAACAGGAACAGTCCAGTTCCATAGGATGAACTGATCTTTTGCAAATGAACGATTTACGATATGGTTTTCCAATTTTACTGAGTAACTCTGTAATTTTCGTTAAATACAATTCGGTTGCCTCCACCTGTGTTCTCATTCACTACAGTATTACTGGTAGTATTAGTAGTAGTAGTAGTAGCAGTAGTAGTGAGAGTAGTAGTAGTATTAGTAGTAGTAGTAGTATTAGTAGTAGTATTAGTATCAGTATTAGTAGTAGTGAGAGTAGTAGTAATGGTAGTAGTAGTAGTAGTGGTAGTAGTAGTATTACTGGTAGTATTAGTAGTAGTAGTAGTAGCAGTAGTAGTGAGAGTAGTAGTAGTAGTGGTAGTAGTAGTACTATTAGTAGTAGTAGTATTAGTATTAGTAGTAGTAGTAGTAATGAGAGAATAAATTTGTTAAAATAGCCTTCATGTTGATGATGATGACAATTTATGTTTATTTTTTGTTTTTAAAAAGAAAAAAAAACAAAACAAATAATAATAAACAAAAAATTAAAATACAGTACAATACAATCAATAATCACATTGGTATGCAGAGATAAAGAAAGATTGTTTCATTTGAGATACTCAGTTGTTTCACCAAGGCATTTATTTTAATGACATTATTCAACTAGTGTACAGTGTAGAAATAAAGGGGAAGGGGAGAATCAATCTTAAACTATGGTGAAAACAACAATGCATGATGTTTCTTACTTTCTAATAAATAATTGATTATAATCTACTATCAACGGATGATGATGAAGAGGAAATCAGGAAGAACTTTCAATGTCAAACGAAAAGAGGAAGGCCAAAGCGTAGGCGAGATATCCGTTTGTGGAATAAAAAGGACGAGTGTACTGCGCAGTGGTTCGCTCCGTCTTACTTTATGGCTGTGAAACATGGCCAATGAGAGTAGAAGATATTCGTAGGTTATTGGTTTTCGATCATAGGTGTCTTCGAAGCATTGCTCGTATATCGTGGGACAACCGAGTAAGCAATGCTGTTATTAGGAAACGGGTGCAAGGTAAGAATGGCAGGTCAATAGATAAAGTAATGAAACTTCATCAGTTGAGGTGGTTGGGACATGTGTTGCGCATGCCCAACCACCGACTGCCTCGTTGAGCTTTGTTTTGTAGTGTAGGAATAGGGTTAGGGGCGGCCAAACCAAAACATGGCAGAAATGTATGAAGTCATTGACAAGTGGACTTAGCCATGTCGGTAATTGTCGACTACTTGGTTAGGGTCCGCAAGATGATAATAATCGATGGTTAGAGACCTTGAATGACATGACTCAAAATCGTTCGCAATGGCGCGGTGCATTTATTCTTTGTGTTCGCTCAAATGCTAATCTTCTGGATTCTTCAACTTTATAAAATTTTCCCATTGAATCATACTTCGTGAATAATATCTTCTAATCCTAACCTCTCTGATTACTTCTAATACCTTTACTACCTCTTCTAATATTTTATTTGAATTGACAATTACATCTCTGTGCTGATGTGGTATGGCGACATGAACTGATGTACTTACGTACGAAGTTCTACGTTGCATCTGACTCTGACTCTGAAGGAACACATTACGTTGAGAAATAGAGAAAGACATGAGAAGAATGAACAACAATTGAACATAATTATAGAAAAGGTACGCGTAGGACAGAGTCGGTTGGAGAATACTGGTCGGCGGACTATGCTCCATTGGAGGGGTAACAGGTGTAA